CAAATAACTAGTTATATTAAGTACGAATACAAATTTTTCAACATGATAGCTGGAAATTAGTAAACCTGGAGGGTTAATCCCAAGCTATATACACCACATGAAGCAGAAGCACTTTCAAATTGCTTTACGAGTGAAGTTTAATAAAATTAATATAGGTTCATATAATTGACTTTATGTTGGGTGCAGTGGAAGTTCTAAAAGCAATATCATGGAAGATAGAGAACTTGAATTGGAACGTAACCTCAGGTTCTTGTATTGATGGAGGCTTCAAAAATGAGACCATTGGAGAGAATAGCATCGTAAGGAATGTAACATGCAATTGCACTTTCCAAAGTGGAACTGTTTGCCATGTTACAAACATGTACGTATATATTAATCCAGATTTTCTTTTCATTATAAGGTGAAAGTGAAGAAAGAAAAAGAGATGGAGAAAATAGAAACTTCAAATTCAGCACAATTTATATATGACCAATATTACTGACGAGGTTTTGTTGTGTTGCAAAAGAAATATTATTATTATTATTCAAATGAATTCTAGTTTGCAAAGATTTGTGATTTAAATCTTTTAATGACAGCCAGCTGAAGGGCCTCAATCTGTCAGGAGTTATACCAAGTGAATTTGGTGATCTTACTCAATTGCAAGAACTGTAAGTGATGCATTCTTTTTCCCCCTTCTTTTATATTTTTTTAATTTTAATTATTATCTGTTTATACTTGTTGAGTTTCAAAAAAAACAAACACTGTCATGTTGAGTATTCTTGTAATGATTTTGACTATTTTTGTAATGATTTTGACATATTAAAATTTGTCAAAATTACCTATTTGTTATTTTAAAATTCAATATGTATTGTTTTTTATGTCATTTTTCCTTTATTATATGTATATATAACCTTAGGGTAACATTAAGATCATTCATAAAAATTTAGAAAATTGGTTTATATTATACTTTATGTAGAGAATGCATCATTTCAATGTTCTATACGAAATTGATAGTCAGTTTAAAAAGAAATGCGTAAATACAAAATGAATTCAGGATTGGAATCCAGATAATTGCTTCCAAACTGTTTTTGCATTATAAAAAAAATGAATTTGGTGAGCTCCATATATATGTTACATAAGATCAAATCCCAAAAAAAAAAAAAGTTGCACACTTCATAAGTTGTGAATACTATAGTTTATTGTAAATTTTATGATTTATGTTGATTGATATTGATGAGACTCATTATTTATGTAAATTCTACTCAAAATTATGTTCTGTTAGTAACAATAATTTGAAGTTTAAAATAACTCTTGTGAACTGAAACTTTGATACGGGGCAGTGATTTCTCTCGCAACTATCTGAACGGGTCAATCCCAAGGAGCTTGGCTAAACTCCCTCTCGCTAAATTGTAAGTAGTGATTGATCAAAACTTGTGAATATCCAAACTTTATTTTCATCCATCTTTTACATGCATGCATATATACAAGCTTGAATAATTTTTTGACTAATTTATGCATCATCGTTCATCTCTCAAACTTATATATGCTTCAGATCCCTTCTGGGAAATCGAATCAGCGGTTCAATTCCAACGGAGATTAGCGATATTTCAACTTTGGAGGAATTGTAAGAGTTCCCAAAGTGACTTATTATAAACTTTGATCTTTTCAAACTAATTGTTGTGTTGAGAAATGTTTTTATGTTTTGTGTTGCCTACTACAGAGTGTTGGAAGATAATCTATTGGAAGGAATTCTTCCTTCTAGTCTTGGAAAATTGAAGCAGCTACGGAGATTGTAAGAACATTTATTTTGTGTATAAGTGATTTTCTTTTTTATTTTTCCAACGCTTTGTAATTGATACAGGCCAAGTGTTGTGTTTTTTTTTTTTTGTTTATGAATTTGCAGACTTCTTTCTGCAAACAATTTCTCAGGGACAATGCCAGAGAGTTATGGCAATTTGAAGAAACTAGAAGATTTGTGAGTCATAAAACATGATTGAGGCAATTTGTATATTGTGTTTAACTCTTTTGAATTCTAAAATCTCTCTCCTAACTTTTTTTTTTTTTTGCAGTAGGTTAGATGGGAACAATATGTCGGGAAAATTACCCAATTTTATTGGCAATTGGACTAAACTTGGAAGATTGTGAGTCTATTTTACTAATCAGTGATTACTGCTTTATGATTATTTATTTGTTGACGAATAAACTAGTTTACTGGATTTTGATCTTTTCATCATATAAGTATCCTATAATGTGAAATAAAAATATGTTAAGCCATCAGGGCTTAATTTTATTTTTTAAATTATTATTATTTTTATTACTATTTTTTGTCTTGGCAGGGATTTACAGGGCACATCCATGGAAGGTCCCATACCTTCAACCATAGCATTGTTAACAAATTTGACTCAATTGTGAGTAGATTTAAATTTGTCTATACATTGTTCAATGAAGATATGCAATTTAATGTTCACTTTTTTTTTTTAACTCAGGAGAATATCTGATTTGAATGGACCAACAACAAGGACTTTTCCTGATCTGGAGAATTTAAAATCCTTGGAATACTTGTGAGTCAAGGAACATTTTCTGCTATGAAAATGCTACATATGATTCTTAATATATAAGACCTAGTTGACTAATTTGGAGAAATTAAAAAAATTATTAAATTATTTAATTATAGTATATATTATATAATCTCTCTAAAATACTTATGTGGACTATTATATCATATATCAATTTATAAGTGAAGCAAATTAGTTTGGAAAAAATGATAAATATAAATAGTTTAAAGTAATTTAGTAACTTTTTTAATTTTTTCTAAATAGTCAATTGGGTCTTATATTAAAGATTTGAAGTAATATGCTTTATGCAATTTAACTATTTTATGAAGTCTCTCTCTCTCTCATACCATGCCTTTTGTCACCTTATTAGGGTGTTGAGAAATTGCTCAATCAGCGGTTCCGTTCCAAATTACATTGGTCAAATGAAAGGCTTAGCTGCTCTGTAAGCTCAATTTGCTTCTTACTAGCTCAAATCAATTTTACCAATCTAAATTCTGGTTAGAGTATGTCATCAATCAATATTGATATCGATATAAAATCTAAAAAAATCGCGTTATTATAAATTATGAATATAATGTGACTCGCATTGCACTCTTTGTAATGCACGAAAAATATATCAAATTTACTTTTTATTTGACAACTTAATTCTTAATTTAGAAATAGTTGCTGATATTATTGACTGTTTTTCATTAATGAATACTACCTCCGGTATTTAGGACGGGAGGTAATATATTTTTTTCCTCTATATATTCTTCAGTTATTGTTTAGTATAAACTGTAAGGATATGATGGAAATTTAATAATATAGGATACTAAGTCCACGTTGAGTATAGTACAGAATACTTAATAGACATTTTTTAATGGGTTGATTCTCACTCCTCAACATAGAGCTTTTGGGATAAAGTTCTCTATCCCACTTAGATACCCATTAGAACTATTTAATAATTATTAATAAATAATTATAATCATAACAGTTTTTTGAGGCCATATTTATGTTTCATATGGATTGCAGTGATTTGAGCTTCAACAATTTGACTGGCAGAATCCCGGATCAAATACAAGACTTGGAAAAACTAAATTACATGTAAGTGAGCATATTCCATAAGTAAGTTAACTTAATTTCTTGAAACCTTTTCTTTTCGGCCAAATAATTTCCTAGAACTTAATTATTTTTTTTTATCTGATGACCTGTACAAATTATGCATGCAGGTTTTTAAATGAAAATTCTCTGAGTGGAGAAATTCCAGCATGGATACTGAAAATCAAACAGAACTTGTTAGTATAATTTCCCCCTAATTTTTTTAATTAAATAGACATAAATTAGTCTTTTAATTTCTTGAAATTAACCCATATCATGTAATATAATGTTATAAAAACACAAACACACACACTAATTATTACTTTAACTTCCTCCTCAAATGTCTTCATCAATAAACAGTTTGTAAAGGTTACTATATGAATTATTGGAAGGAATATAAAAAAGACTTGTATATATAATTCCACTCTAATTTCTCTTATAGGGATTTATCTTACAACAATTTTTCAACGACTTCTGCTCCAATTTGCCAGTTCAACGATATGTAAGCCTCTGTTTGTGTGTGTGTGTGTGTGTGTAACTTTATGGGCATTGTAATATTCTGAGGCCTTAATTTTGTTACACAGAAATTTGGCTTCAAGTCTGTCATCTTCAACAAACACCTCGTACGATTATGTATACTTATATGGTCATCCTGTTTTAATTATTATGCAATATTTTTGACTCATTTATTGAAGCTACTTATTCATCATCTTGCAGTCTTACTTGCCTGAAAAAGAACCTTCCTTGTGAAGAAAATCCCAAGTGTGAGTGTTCAAACTTCCTAGACATAGTTGATGTTTTCATCCCCTACAATAATAGTTTTGCATTGAAAATATTTAATGACCCTGTCATTTTTTAGTGTATTGTATTTTCAACCAAAAAAAAAATATATAAATCAGCTCAAACAAAGTCCAGTACAAAACTAGAGAAGATACTGTTATAAATCCCACACGTTGAAGAATTTCATTAAGTTTTGTGTGTTTTATAATTTTAAGGGACTCTACCTTTTGATAGGCTAGTCTTTTGGAATTGGCTTTTTGTTTTAAACTTATCTAATGTGAGACTCATAACAGATACCAACAACTTAAACTAATGCCCATGCCAACTCATCATAAACACTTATTTCCATGAATTTTGACGAGATGTTGAGAATTTTGGTCATTCTATATGGTGAAATGACTGCCAATTTCATGTGATAATATTTCGATCAAAACAACACCTGTTATCCAAAAGTCACATCTGATGATTAATTGTTGGTGAAATATAGTCCAATTTCTTGCTAGCTAACCTACTGGAGCTTTAATGTTTGAGTTTCTATCAGACGTAGTTATTGATGTTATGAATAGTTTTGCAGATCATTCATTGTTCATAAACTGTGGAGGACAAGAAATGGAATACAATGGGAATAAGTATGAAAGCGACCTCGATCAAGAGGGTATCTCATACTTTTATCTCAGTGACGACAAATGGGCTTACAGCAGCACAGGATTATACTTTGGAAATTCTGAAGCTGATTACATAGCAACAAACACATTTTCTCTCAACATCACTGGTCCTCACTTCTACCAAACAGCTCGCCTTTCCCCTTCCTCCCTTAAGTATTATGGCCTCTGCTTGCTTAATGGGAATTACAATGTCAAGCTTCACTTTGCTGAGATTATGTTCTCTAATGACCAAACATTTAGCAGCCTCGGAAGGCGCATATTTGATGTCTCAATTCAAGTGAGTATATCTTGATCCTCTTCTGCTGATTTAATTGAAAGGTGTAGTAAGAAGAAGAAGAAGTTCTGAAGTGCTGAAACTTTTTGTGGACAAATATTGACAGGGAAGGAAATATTTGAGTGATTTTAACATAATGGAGGAAGCTGGTGGTGTTGGTGAGGGCATTGTTAAGGACTTTAATGTTGATGTGAATGATAACAGCCTGGAGATCCATTTATATTGGGCAGGCAAAGGAACCACTGCAATCCCTAATAGAGGTGTATATGGACCTCTTATATCTGCTATTTCAGTTACCCCAAGTAAGTCAAATATATAATTAATCTCATCATTATTGGTTTGATTTATATGTGTGTGTGTGTGTGTGTGTGAATAATATATAAGCATTTCTTCTTTTGTTGCAGACTTCAAATTAAGTCCTTCAAAAGGGCTTTCTGCTGGAGCCATTGTTGGAATAGTTGTAGCTGTACTATTTGTGATCCTCATACTGATATTATTTGTTCTGCGAAAGATGGGTTTCTTATTAGGTGGGAAGAATCATAAAGATAAAGGGAAAATCAGAATAAAAAATCAAACTGGTGTATCAGATGATGAGATGTGAGAGTCATCAAATGGATATTTAATCTTTTTCGTTCATATGTTAGTGATTTAATTATTATATTAAAGTTCTCGTGTCTGTTTCAGGCAATTTCATTTGATTTTTGCTTTTAGTAATATTAATCTTCTTTGTTGTATACCTCTTAAATCTGAAAATGAGTTTTTATTCTTTAAAACAGTTCAAAGATGACACGTACTGGTCACTTTGCTCCACAAAATAAGTTTGGTGAAGGAGGTTTTTTTCCCCCTATGCACATATAATGTATTTTATAAAGAAAAAAGACTAAATTATACAAAACTTCTTGAATTTTATGCGATACGTAAATAACTTCCCTAATCTTTGAAATCTTACAATATCATTCTGACTTTTGACATTTATACAAATACTATTAAATTGGTTCATTATTTATCTGCAAATAACTTAAAGTTCAAGGGGTTTGTGTGCCTCTAACTCAAAGTTTGAGGGGTTATATGCAGATAAAAGTAACGTTTAAGGGGTATTATGAAATTGATAGTTTGGAGTTACCTGTATAGATTTAAAAGTTTAGGGGGTTTATTGTAAAGTTTTAAAAGATTACGAAGGTTATTTAGGTATGACATAAAGTTAAGAAATTGAGAAAATGATAAAAAAATGTTTATTGTATATTAAAATAATAAATAGGTGATTTTGATATATTTTAATATGTCAAAAAATAGTCAAAACCATTACAAAAGTAATAAGCATGACTTATTTATCTTTTTAAAATTCAACATGTATTTTTTTGTCATTTTCTTTGAGGAATTTTGTATAATTTACCCACGTCAAATGAACAAAATGACAATGATATGAATGTATGATTAAATTCTCATATGCAAGAGCTAAAAAATATGGGAGTTAGAAGTGAAAAGAATAATATTATAAAAGAACATTACAAAATAATTAAAAAAATGAAAGATACTGAGTAATGATGTTGTAAATATACTGGATGCTGAAAAAAAACGGAAGAGGATTTTTGGAGAGAATTCACAATTGCTTTGTCTTTAATTTTTTGGAGGATGTTTGAAATGTTTATTGTTTTTCAAATGTGTTTCTTGCTATCCCGTTTATAAACAAAAAGTGGTGGTTTTTCCTTTCTTGTACCTTCCATTTTCTTAGGATATTTTGGGCTTAGATCAAAATAAAATTAGATCATGGTTCATTATGACAGTTTAATGTCATCAAACAAAGTCAATTATAACATTTTATTCCATTCTATTTTATTATTCCATTCATATTATTTCCCCACCCCAAACAGTCTTGGAAGCATTTTTATATAGGAAAGGAAATTTGAAAACATGATATAACAAAGTGAATTAAAATGTTGAGAGGAGTAACAGATAAGTCATGCTTTTATTGGATGTAAATAAAAATAAAAATAGAGCAAGAGTACATTATCATCACCGTAAAATAAAGACTTTATTTGATAGATTGTTCATTATTTCCTACTGAAGAAACTAGTTAATTCTAAGGAAATACGAAATTTAAAAAGCATAGAAAGGGATATTCGTTGGTCACAAAAAGAAAATCTTCGTAAAAATATAATATAATATAAAACAATGAAATATCCGTCTTCGAATTAATTGATAACAACTTTTTAAAGTTTTCAAAAATAAATATTTTTCATATTTACAACTAGGATAAAGAAAATTTACATAATGCTTATGTTTTGGTAGCTATGTTTTTTCCTAAGCATATATCCTTTTATTGAAAGTAATCCTATTTAAAAACTATCAGACATTAAATAGGAGTATCTCTTCTAATAAGGATTCATATATTAATTTGTCATATTGTGAGGAACTTGTATTTTTTTTTTCTTTTTTTGGTTAAAGCATAAGTATTCTTGTACTGGAGTCACCGTCGGACATTAAATATGGATACTTCTCTCAACGAAAATTCCAACATTAGTTTATCATTTCGTGAGAGATTAACTTTTTTTGTAGATCTAACCTCCATTGGTAACTTGTATTTTCGTGAGATCCAACTCCTCCCCCCGTTTTATTCGCCAAATAGGAAGGGAAAGATAGCCAAACTATAATCGAGCAACCTACTAGACTTTTAAACAGGACCCAGAAAGGCGTATCCACATCAATGATTGGCTATGGCCCAACATACAGTGATCAGCCCATATCGCCACATCACTGATGACTGGACTTTTTCTTCTTCCTTTTCTTAAGGGAAAATTGCAATAAAGTCCGCCATAAGAGAATTAAATATAAAAAAAGTCCTTTAAAATCATCAAATTATTTTGAAGTCCCAAGGGACCTCATTGTAAAATATTTTATTTTTTAATTACCAAATTGCCCTTGTTATTATTTTTTAAAAAATTTTTGCATTGATAATCGAAAGAGCAGTTATTAACAACTAATGTGTAAGGATTAATAATTATTGTAATAGCTGTTAAAAATTCATGCATTATATTTTTATGATGTGCTGAGAAAATATGTTGTTAATACCTACCATGATAGTTTTTAATCCTTATACCTTACTCCTCCAATCGTTAATATAAAACCTATTTAACTAATTTGATTAGATTAAGAAAGTTAGGTAAGTTAGATAGTTATAAGAAAAGTGACACATTTTTCTTAAAACGTCATAATCATCTTTGTTAATACCTCATTTCCCTCTTCTACTTGATTATGGTAGAGGGAGTATCTATAGGGATAATTTAGAGAAAATTGATAAATATGATAAATAGGTCTTATATTTAGGAACAAAACTAACTCAAGAATTGAGTCCTATATTAAGGACTAGAGAATTAAGTTGTTAATAATTGCTCTTTTAGTTATCAATAAAAATTTTTTAAAAAATAAAGGTAATTGAGTAATTAAACAAATAAAATCTTTTACAATAAATCCTTTGGAAATTTAGAATAATTTAATGATTTTACGAGATATTTTTGCATTTAATTCTCTTAAGTGAAATCTAATTGCAATTTTTCCTTTTCTTAAAGCCAAATATCAATAGTCTAACAAGACTTCCCATAGAGAGATGCTCACGTTGATAGTATCTCGTGTAAGATTATCTTCTATAAAAGATACATGTGGTTACCAAAAGGAAAAAAAAGTTTAACAAGAAACGAATATGGACTTGTAATAATAAAATAGAGTTGATAGTTTCAGACAAAGACTTGCAATTTTGTCTTTTTTTTTTTTTTTGCCCCATCTATAGATATCTAAATATATACTACCTTCGGTATCTAGTTTTTAGCCCAGACAAGTAGGTAGCGTGTGTACGTATATCAAGTGCTGAAACAAGTAGTGCCTTGAACCAAGTCTTAGTTTTAAAGTTCTTCAAAGAAACAGTGGGCATTCAATGGGACAAAGTCAGAGATTTCCAAACAACAAAGGGACAGAAGCCACTTGGATTGGTACATTCCACCTCCTAACTACATCCATAAATAATAAGCCTGCCAATGCAACCCGCATAATGGTCTTTAATGTCACTTGACCTTTTATCTTTGCTTCATGGGGATTATATATAAACACCACCCTCCTTTTTCAAACAAATCATCACATTTGCTACTAATTAATTTGGTTCAACATGAATCAAGCCCAAACAACTCATTTTTCTTTACAAAATATAATTGAAGAAAAACACCATAAAAATAACTTCTGTGTTTATAAAACAAATTTTTTTTTTTCACATAATTATTACGTACAGCCCAAAATCACTTAAAATAAATTAAAACAAACACACCAAAGACATTATATGTTTCCTGAACAAATATCTTTAAGAGCTCGTGTTCTTTTGGGTTTCTTTTATATGATCTCATTAATCACCTCAAGCACACTGAGAAGTTTAGTTAAAATTGATTACCTTGTTAAAGGTGTCTTAAATTTAATTTTTCCCCACAATTATCCTAATTTATCATCACAGTAATGTACTTTCGCCATTATTTTACTATACAAATGGCATTTTGAGTTTTAAAAACATGAGTGATTCATATTATATTGATGTCAACAGCTCCATGAGTTAATGATATGAAAGTTCTTCAGTCAATGAAAAATTATGAGTTCGATCTTACTTATAATTTTACTCTATTAGAGATTGACTTTTGATTTTTTTTCCCAAAAAAATTTATGAATAAAGGAGTACCAATTAAGTTAATGTGGTCTAAAGTTGCCCATGATGCTTCCCTTAAAATCAAAGATGCTTCCTTTCTCACCATGTTCTTAACATGCATGCCCTCACCTAATAAGATAAACTCTGCCTCTCTTGTCATTTCTTTTTCCCGTTAAAAAAGATGCAATGTATGATTCATATATTTTGTTTTTCCCCCTAAAAAAAGATGACTAAAAAGGTCAAAGTAAATGCATATATTATAGTTTATACTATAATGAATTTATAATTGGAAAAAATCTGAATTATTATAGGTAGCAATATTAAATAGAAAAGATAGTTTTAGAAACTGAGAATTCATTGTTTGGCATTATTTCCCCCAACCACTCCTCCCTCTGCCGACCGGTCACTTACTGACAGATTCTTCCGCGTTATTTCATCAGAAACAGCGGCTCCTTCCTAAACTGAACGCCCAATTATTTAATTAATTTAATTTAATTTAATTAATTAGCTATATTAGGACAAGAAGTCATAATCAAAACTCTGGCATATATTAATTCTTGTGATCTGTCTTTCATTAATTGTAGCCAATTAATGTTAGATTCTATAACAAAGATTAGTGTGAATCAACTATGTATAGTAGTTAAACAATATTTAACAGTTGATCTTCGTTTGAGATCTCATGTTTTGTTCATTAAAAAGTAATTAAAATAAATCTGCCGTAAAATAAATCGAATTATGTTTTGAATAGAGACAAAAATTGGATGTCAGCACATATATAAATTAATTCGGGGTATCACGGGCATGCATGACGATAAATTATACGGCTTATCTTGAGGTTTTTTGTGTGGGCAGCAAATATTGATAAATTATTTAGGGATGCATTATTGTATTTTCAGATTAAAAGTGTTTATCTGCTAAAAAGTGTTACAATAGGGACAAAAATATAGTCAATACTAATACATGATTAAATACGTAACCAGTCTTATTGTTGGTGATAAATTCTTTGAATAATATGTGTTTTTAACGATAAAACTTCCTTTTAGAAATAATATTTGTATTACAAAATATTTGTTCATAAAAGGTCCCTTACAATTCTTCTAGTAAGTTATTGGATATTCAAACTCGTATTAGATTCCGACTAATTCAAATACGTGGTGACTTAAGCTCTAAACCTCATGGAGTAGCCTTACATAGACTCAAATTCAATGCCCCGTGTTTAGAATTTGTTTGCATTTCTTTATTTATAATAGATAAATCAAAACAAAATTTTTCTCACATATTTATTTTGTATTTAATAAATTATAATTAAAAAACTATTTATAAATCATCACAAACAAGTGCTTATAAACACCTTTCCCCCCAACCCCCAACCCAAAAATTAGCAAAAAAAGATATGAATTACTTTAGCATGATAGCCATTGGTACTGGCATGTTGGCTCCGCCTTGTTATTAATTTCTTTCAATGCAATTAGTAACTTTCATTTCAGGCAACATATCATATCATAGTACTTCTTTAGTCCTTAATATAGGATTCAATTCTTGAGTTAGTTTTGATCTTAAATATAAGATCCATTTATTATATTTATTAATTTTCTCTAAATTATCCCTATGGATACTTTCTCAACTATAATCAAGTAGAAGAAGGAGATGAGGTATTAAGAAAGATGATTATGGTGTTTTAGGAAAAATGTGTCACTTTTCTTATAATTAACTAATTTACCTAACTTCATTAATCTAATCAAATTAGTTAAATGGGTTTTATATTAAAGATCGGAGGAGTATCATGTAAGACTTTGTTTATAGTTTATAAATAGAGTCTTATAAATAGGATGAATATAACATAATGACGAATTTAATATTAAAAACACTGAGAAAAACAATTAAAACCAGAATGGAGAATTGAATTAAATTTTTTCTCACTATCAAGTGGAGGGAAAACGACAAGAGAAGTTGTCTTCAATCTTCATCCATGAGCCCTATCGTATTGAGTCATTCGCTCGGTTTCTTTTACGTATTTCACAGTTTTGGATTTTCAAATAAATGCATCCTTCTTCTTCTCTCACTCCCTCTTCGTCTTTCCCTCCAACACACAGACACAGATCCCTCTCTCTCTCTCTCTCTCTAAATTCTTCTTCTTCTTCTTCAAACCAACCAACAATCGTCGTCTTCCTCGCTCATCAGACTGAAACAACAATGGAGTTAGCGATTTCAAGCTCTAAACTGTTCTGCGTTTTCGCATTTGGATTCCTCGCTCTCAATATTTTCACGGATTATGGATCCAACGCTCAGCAGATTCCAGATGATGAAGGTACTTTCTTTTCTTAAACCTCACTTTCATTCTTCCATGGAATTTCTTTTCCTCTCCGGAATAACACTTAGACGATGAGAATTTTGTTTTCCTTGACCCTCTCCTGGATGGATTTTCTGATTCTAAAGTTCCTCCGTTTGGTTGTTCAAACGAAGACGCATTGAAAAACTAAGTAACTGCTGTAGATTCCGAATCGGGGCACTTCCATTTTTTGTCTTCAGGTTCAAGTTGGTGAAAACTGTAGCGATTCAGTTTTCTTTTTCCCTTCTATTTTGGATTTTGATTGGGATTTTCATGGAGAATGATAAGTTTGAGCATATAATCTTTCTTCAAAAGATCTGCTAGATTATACAGTGAGATTAAAATTTTCCTTTTCATGGAGTTTCTGCACCTAACTTAAACAGAAAATTTTATACTTTGTTTTTTTTTTTTTTTAACTTCTCTCATGTTCATGCATTGCCAGCCTGGACACTCAATTCTGTGTCTTTTATATATTTATTTTTCATTTAGACAAAAGTGTATTTTGACAAAACTTTATCTTGATACCTTAATTTTATAGAGAGTCTTTTTCTTTAATCAAATAAAAGCTCTAATATTAAAATTTTAAATATTTGCATATTAAATTTAATTTTTTAAAAATAGCAGTAAGATATAAACTATAAAAATATCATTATTCAAGACTAATAGTGTTGGAGTTTGAGGACCGAAAACATATTGGATGAAATTAAGAGAAAATTAAAATTTTTATATAAAGCTAGAGGTTTAAAATTGCACTTTTATCATTTATTTATTTATTTTCATGTTTTTTTTTAGAGAATGACACAAAAAGAAATTAAAAATTGTAAATCCCAAAGTTTGGTAACATAATTTTATTTAGTATTGACAATTTTAAATTTGCAAATGATAACAAATTTTTGTTGATATTTTTTATTTGACATTTACAAATTTTTAACTTCTATTTTTGTCATTGTCCCTTCTTTTTTAAAGGTTTGTGTTTTTTCATATATCTAATTATAAACATAATTTGCTGTAACTTTGGGAAGGTTGCAGTGATTTGAATATAATTAAAATTACTGTTGATTGTTAATTTTATAACCTTGTTCTCACATGTTACTTATAAGAGGGTACACCTCTTGCATTGTTTAGGGAAAATTCACTTAACGGCTTAGTTTCTATTATACTACTAATATATAAGAAATATTCAAAAATTGAAATTGCTCTAAACGAGTACGCAGATTAATTCATTATTTTTTCCCAAAAATCATTATATATGCTTTCCAAAGTTACAATTTGAGTTTCTCCCCGGATGTTATAAGAGTATCTTCATTTGACAAAAAATGATTTTAGCATATATTTGTAATATCGTTGGAGGTTGTATTACGATTATAATATTAGAAAACCGGGGGTGATAGTTTTAAAAATCTATAAAATTATGTTAATTTTTTTAGTTATTTTGTAAATTATAGATCTCAATCACCATTTTTTACCCGTGGGAAAAATTTTAATATCTTGTTCTCTTTCTTCTCTCTCCCCCATGCCTTTTCTCTGGTTAACGCATCTTCTGCGTCACACAAGAAAATTATCAAATTCCAAATTTTTTTGTTTTTCGCAACAATTCAAATTCCGAGGTTACAATTTGAAAGTCATATGCCACGTTGGCCAAGATATAAGTTTAAAAACAAGAAGAAAAAGCTGGGAGAGGACAAATAGATGAAGTCTAGGATGGAAAAGAATTACTCCCATACCATATGGTTGAGAGAAGATATTTTTTAGTCCTATTAATAGGGGACTGAGAAATTTTTTTTTTGGATGTATAATTTTACCTCTAATTTATTACTATGTTGATTTTGTTTATATAAAGTATAATGTATATTAATTATGGATAAAATCAAACAATTGTTAAGTTTTAAATGAGAATTAATGAAATTTAAAGTTTTTCTTAATCTGTATGAAACATGTTGAAAATAATTTATAAAAAGGACTAGAAGAGTAGTCATTATTAAACGCCGGTGGATATCTCAAATTCTAAAAAAAAAAAAAAATACTGATCCCTCTCCTCTTTGATATGAGAGATTTTTTTTTCCTAGGGTGAGGATTTATTATTTAAAAGAGCAATAAGAATCTGTCTGAAATTTGTCGTATTATTTCCATTTTCACATCCATTAGTTATTTGTTACTTTTTACTGCATCAGGTATTTATATTGTCTAAAAATTGTTCTGTAAAAAAATTTATTTTTGTATATATTTATTTTTTTTAAATTAATTTTAACTAAATTTTTATTTACATAATTTAATAATTTGTATTTTATAAAAAAAATATCGGACGAGGAAATACCAGTACGAAGAAAGGATCATTATGGCATGACCGAGCAAGCGGAAAAGGAAATGGACAAGTTGGATTAAACAAGTGGGTTTAGTAATTAATGCAGAGGGACATATGTGTGGGACATTTAATTGAGCCATGTGGCTTCGTAGGATTTTGCCTTTTCTGCTTCATCTCTCTTTCTATACGCTTTTTTTGCCCTTTTGACTCATGCTTCTAAAAGTTTATTAATTAAATGCTATTATCATTTATTTATTATTTATTCGTAATTCTTATTTGATTTTTATATGCTTCCATCTGTTTATTGGTTTGTTTAATTATAATGATATGATGTGACTCTGCTTCTTAATTAGGGATAACACAGCATGTGATTTCTGCCTTCATGTTTGGACATTATTAGTACTGGCTTAGTTTAATTTATGGATAAGTCTTTATTAATATTAGGTTTTTAAATTTAAACGAGCTTTATATGCTCACAACTCAGTCACAGACAAAAGCAAATCGATAAATTATATCGCCAACCAAACATGACTTAGTCAAATCAATTACAAAAATGTTACATACAAATATTTATATATATAATAAGATGGTCGGTCTTAAAGATGGATTGATGCTTTCATTTGTAAGATGCTCCAATAAGAGTTAATTAGAGATTAAATTTGATCATAAATATTCATAAACTAATATATAATCTAATATTTTGTAGGTGCATTAACTAATTTATTTGATTTACCTAATTAGTAAATTAAGTACTTTTTTGCCATCAAATTAATTAAATAACTCTTATATAAATGATTAAAGAGAGGATATCAAATAAAATTAAAAGTATTATGTGTTTTAATTTTAATTCATAACTGTATTTTAGCTTTGCATGGAAGAGAATTTTAATCCTGGCAGCTAGATTTGCCTTCGTTAATGATATAACATGAATCTTGACAAGGAAAAGTTTAGGAGAATGTTAATTATATTACTCCCATGTTAATTATCAATAGCGTATTTTGAAAGCCGTAAGATCACATCAAAACTAGTGAACAAGTTTTCAAACAGAAATACGAACATGAAACAAGATTATTTATAAACATAAAGCTTGAGATTACGTCTTGATTAAGCTTAAATGTATATATATGATACTTATGTTGGAGTATGAGCATGTCATTAATTTTAATTAAAAGCTAAACTGTGGGTTAACCCCAAGCTGTCCCACGTGATACACTTTGACTTTGCTTTATCAACAAAATTTAGGAAAAAATTATTTATAGCTCCATGGTAAAACAAAAAAAAAAATTAAATGCCAACAAGTGTCACAAATTTCATTTAATATTTATAAGTCATTTTCATATTCATAAATCAGGCTGCATCATTTATAAGTCAAATTTACAAATTAAACTTGTGAATGTTAAATCTTCTCGAACCAATTAGTATTAAATGAAATTTGGGAGATTTATCCTTGTTTAATTTTCTTACTCGGGACCTATGGATACCCCCCCCCCAAAATTACTGGTGTTTTTGAAATTAAAATACAGATAATTAATTAAGTTCTGCTTGATTGATGCTTGATTTATTTATTTGGATACAGTGAGAGCTCTGCAAGCGATATCACTGAAAATGGACTTGAATTGGAAGGTGAAGCCAAGCTCTTGTATGGATGGAGGCTTCAAAAATCAGAGCATTGTAGGAGACGACATTATTAGGAATGTTACCTGCAATTGCACTTTCTCCACCGGAAAAGTTTGCCATGTTACACATATGTAAGTATATATAATACTTCTCGGGTCCTAAACATAAAAAATGGGTCTTATATTTAGGACGGGAGGAGTATATCCTATTCTTTTTTCCCCTCTTTTAATATTAAGATTCAGGAGCATCCTCTGTTAATAATAAAAACTAATTTTTCTCAAAAGATGGTAGATCTCTATGATTATTTTATTGATTTATATATTTTATGACAGCCAGCTAAAGGGTCTTAATCTATCCGGAGTTATACCAAGTGAATTTGGTAATCTTACCCAACTGCAAGAACTGTAAGTGATGTTTTTTTTTCAATTGGTTTATATAAGTACAGAAATTTAATGTGTATGTGCTTGAGAATTTGATTGTGAATTTATGAACTAAAACTCTTAGTATGGAACAGTGATTTGACTCGCAACTATCTGAATGGCTCAATCCCAAAGAGCTTTGCTAAACTTCCTCTTGTTATATTGTAAGTCATCAAAACTTATGAAAATCCAATCCCTACTTGACAAATGCTTTAATTATACATTCATTTCTTAAATTTATGCTTCAGATCCCTTTTGGCCAATCAACTCAGTGGTCCAATTCCAAAGGAAATTGGTGATATTTCAACTTTGGAGGAGCTGTAAGTGTAATTAATTCAATCAAGAATTCAATTTGAGCTTCTGAATAGAGAAGTGATTTTATGGTTTTGCCGTTTTTCGCATTCTGCAGTGTGTTGGAAGATAATCTGTTGGAAGGAACTCTTCCTTCAAGTCTTGGAAAATTGAAGCAATTACGCAGACTGTAAGAGCATAATTTTCTTTTATCTCCTTTGCATTGTAATGAATTCCATTGTTGCTACAATTATAGGTTCATGTTATTGTTTATGAACTTGCAGGCTTTTTTCTGCAAATAATTTCTCAGGGATGATACCTGAAAGTTTTGGCAATCTAAAGAAACTAGAAGATTTGTGAGTGTTATATGATTTAGCTCCTCTCTTTCAGTTCTATTTTGTGTTTGATCTTTAAATTCTGAAATCTCTTCTTATATTTTCTGCAGCAGGTTAGATGGAAACAACATGTCAGGAAAATTACCCAGTTTTATTGGCAACTGGACCAATCTTGATAGATTGTGAGTCTATTTTGCTCTTACTCATTTATGATTCTTTCCTTGGTAAAGAAGGCACTAGTTTAGTCACTTTTGATCCTTCCATGAAAAATTCATATGCGAAAGTGACACAGTTTTAGATCATCAATATACCTGTATATCTAATCTAATAAATTTATAAAAATTCACACTGTTCACAAGTTATGAACACTATTTTAATCCTTAAATTGAGCGGATCTTATTCAGTGTCACTTGTCTAAATTATTATTACAACTACTTTTCCTGTTAGAGATTTGCAGGGAACATCCATGGAAGGCCCAATTCCTCCAACCATAGCTTTGTTAACAAATTTGACTCAGCTGTGAGTTACCTGTTCTTCTGTAATTTGCAAACTCTCCAATGGTTTTGGAATTTAATCTACAACATACAACAACACTTTCTGGTTACCGATGATTTTTTCTTCTAATTTGATTCAGGAGGATATCTGATTTGAATGGACAGCCAACAATGAAATTCCCTGATATAAAGAATTTGAAATCCTTGAAGCAATTGTGAGTTCTGAAACTTTGTCTGCTGTTATATGAAAATCTGATTTATGTACTTTTAAGTATTTCCAGGAAGTTTATTGTTTTTAAACTTTGTATTATCTAGGGTGTTGAGAAATTGCTCAATCACTGGTTCCATTCCAGATAACATTGGTCAACTGGAAGACTTAGTTACCCTGTAAGTTGCTTCATACTCAAATTAATTTTGCCAATCCAGATTCTCCTTGGAATATATATTTATTATAAGGTTGCAGAGATTTGAGCTTCAACAAGTTGACTGGTGGGATCCCAGATGAAATAGAACACTTGAAAAGACTAGATTACATGTGAGCATTGCTTCAAGTAACTTAATTTCTGGGAACTTTTTCTTGGCAAATAATTACTTTAATTTCTTTTTTTTTTTCCTTTTCAATTGATTGGTTATTAATTATGCATGCAGGTTTTTGACTCAAAATTCTTTGAGCGGAGAAATTCCAGGATGGATACTAAAAAATAAAAACAACTTGTAAGTACAAAACTTTTTTTCTTAAATTGTCTTTTACTCCTAGACATTAGTCTTATTCACATTTCATCGTTACTTTTCCCCTCAAATATATTTATTGATAAACGTTCTAAAGGTTAAAATGAATTATGGGAAAATAAACTTGTATATGTAACTTCAATCGTTTCTCTCTTCTAGGGATTTATCATACAACAATTTTTCAAAGACTTCTGCTAAGATTTGCCAGTCCAAGGATGTGTAAGCGCCCCCCCTCCCACCTCTCTCTCACACACACACGCACAGCCATTAGGAAACTTCTGATACTGACTCCTTATTTTTGTTGCACAGAAACTTGGCTTCGAGCCTCTCATCTTCAGCAGGGACCTCGTAAGATTGTAGTTATGGTCATCCTATTACAATTATTCTGAATCATTCTTGAATCATGCATTGACGCTAATTATTCATCTTGCAGAGTTACTTGCCTGAAAAAGGACCTTCCTTGTGGAGGAAAACCCAAGTGTGAGTGTTCTAACTTCATACTAAAATGTCAGACATGCGATATTCTTACAAGAGAAAATCCTGAATTGAAGCTTGGATGTTCTATTGATTCTTATTGATGCGAATTTTTATCAAATCGTTACCATATATGCAGATCATTCATTGTTCATAAACTGTGGAGGATCAGAAATGGATGATGATCAGGGGAATAAATATGACAGTGACCTTAGTCCGGAGGGTATCTCATCCTTTAGTTCTTCTGAAGACAAATGGGCTTATAGTAGCACAGGAACATACTTGGGAAATGCAAAAGCTGATTACATTGCCAGAAATACATTTTCTTTGAACATTACAGGTCCAAGCTTCTACCAAACAGCTCGCCTTTCCCCTTTGTCCCTCAAGTATCATGGCCTGTGTTTGCTTAATGGAAACTACAATGTCAAACTTCACTTTGCTGAGATTATGTATCCTAATGACCAAACATTTAGTAGCCTCGGGAGGCGCATATTTGATGTCTCAATTCAAGTAAGTGTTCCAATGTTGAATCCTGATCTTCTTTGCTGATTACAAGTTCTAGTAAGAAGAGTTCTGAGAGGTTGAAACTTTTGTGCCAAAATCTTGATAGGGCAGGAAATATTTGAGTGATTTTAACATTATGGAGAAAGCTGGTGGCGCTGGTAAAGGCATTTTCAGGGATTTCAATGTTGATGTGAAAGATAACACATTGGAGATCCATTTTTACTGGGCAGGGAAAGGAACTACAGCTGTTCCTGATAGAGGTGTATATGGACCTCTTATATCAGCTATTTTAGTAACCCCAAGTGAGTAAAATCTCGTAGTCATTGGTCCTGACCCTTTCTAGCTTTAAACAAAGTAATTTGAGCCTTTTGATTTTGGCATGAATCATTAACGTTTTTACTTTGTCGCAGACTTTGATGTTCCTTCAGAAGGGCTTTCTGCTGGAGCCATTGCTGGAATTGTCGCCGGATCATGTGTGTTCCTCGTACTAATATTGCTTGTCCTTCGAAAGACGGGTTTCTTAGGGGGGAAAGATCCAAAAGACAAAGGTGACAAAATCTGAAATAGTAAAGCTTATCAATTTATAATTTGGTTTAATATAGTAATAAACATGTTAACAATCTACATGATTTTTGTGAGTTGGTTAGTAGTGAAACTGTTGTTTATGTTTGGTTTTGATTTTATTTATATATAACCTTGTGTGTTGCAGAACTATTAGATCTAAAAACAGGTTATTTCTCTTTAAAACAAATCAAAGCTGCCACTGATAACTTTGCCCCAGAAAATAAGATCGGTGAAGGAGGTTTCGGACCAGTGTACAAGGTAACTTGGGATATATTTTATTTATACTCAAGCCATACTAACTTGCCCATCGAACTTATAAACAAACAATATATTTAACATATATTGATTGTATTTAAGAAAGATGATGGAAAAATTGAGACTAATGAATTGGTTGAATTGTAGGGTTCACTTTCAGATGGTTCTGTCATAGCTGTGAAGCAACTCTCCTCCAAATCAAAGCAAGGAAATCGTGAATTTGTTAATGAAATTGGAATGATTTCTGCTTTGCAACATCCAAATCTTGTGAAGCTTTATGGCTGCTGCATTGAAGGGAACCAGTTGTTGTTGATATATGAGTATATGGAGAATAATAGCCTTGCTCGTGCTCTTTTTGGTAAGAGTTCAGATCATTTATAGTTTATAGTAAATAAATTACTCTATAAAGGGATAAAAAGATGGTTTTCACTTTTCATACACTCTTACTTCCCTGCATTACTCTCTTTTTTGTTTTGCTACCATATAACTGCGTATTCAATAGATGCTCTATTGATGACTTTGAGTGGTATCTTTATTTTCTTCATTCAATTTCTGCGAAGACAAAATTTAGTTGTAGTTTTTAAGGATTGTTCTAATTCATGCATATGATTGACTAATGTGAAATAAGTTCTTAGTATGTTACAATTTAATTAAAGGACCTGATGAAGTAATTGATGTTCTTAGGTCGCCCAGAGCAAAAATTACACTTGGATTGGCCTACAAGAATGAAAATTTGTGTAGGGATAGCAAGAGGTTTAGCTTATCTTCATGAGGAATCAAGGTTGAAAATTGTACATAGAGATATCAAGGCAACAAATGTCTTACTTGATAAGGATTTGAATGCTAAGATCTCTGACTTTGGTTTGGCCAAGCTTGATGAAGAAGAAAATACTCATATCAGCACAAGAATAGCAGGAACGATGTGAGTATTCTGCTTCATCTTTTCTTCTATCAGTTGTCAAATTTGGTAGATTATTAGAAGTTTCTTGTCTTTCTTTTGAACTGATTCTAGGGTACTATATGTTCTCTTGTTAGTGGTTATATGGCTCCCGAATATGCAATGCGAGGCTACTTGACTGACAAAGCAGATGTTTATAGCTTTGGAGTTGTTGCTTTAGAGATTGTGAGTGGAAAAAACAACACAAATTACAGGCCAAAAGAGGAGTTTGTTTATCTTCTTGATTGGGTTAGTTACACTTATCTTTTGCTCAATATGTTCAAAAGACTTTTGCCCTTCTAATTTTCCATGTGTTCATCAATTTTTTGGGCAAAACCGAAATCAAACTAAAAGAACCCTTGCAATAATTAAAAAGCATTTTCAAGAGCTGATAAATTGTCAACTTCGTGCAATTCTTTTTGATATGATGCAATGTAATCCTTTTATGATATAAAAGGGATATAAATGTAACGAGAAGAAATATTATAATGGTTCCCGAGAGACAAGCTTTTTCAATATGGCCCCTCGTTCTCAATGCCTTATTCAGTTTGGTCCTTTCAATCACCTGAAGTCACCATCTTTTTCGTTAAATTTTACTGGTATTGTCTCATTTTCTAGCATATCAAAGAAGAAGCAAGGATACATTTTCTCCATAAATTAAAGGTTTGATTCAATTTCTGATGACTGCATACTTTCATGTAATTGAAGGCCTATGTTCTTGAAGAGCAAGGAAATCTTCTTGAGTTGGTGGATCCAAGTCTTGGTTCAAGCTATTCCTCTCAGGAAGCCATGAGAATGCTAGAGTTGGCACTCTTGTGTACAAATCCATCTCCAACTCTCAGACCACCCATGTCCTCCGTTGTTAGCATGCTTGAAGGAAAATCGCCGATCCAAGCACCGGTAATCAAGCGCCTGGAGGGGAAACAAGATGCAAGATTCAAAGCCTTCGAGAAGCTATCACAAGACAGCCATAGCCAAACCTTTGTTTCTTCTGAATTCTCACAGGAAAGCATGGAGCAGAGAGTTCAGTCAATGGGCCCATGGGTTGATTCCTCTGTTTCTCTTCCAAGTAAAGATTGCACTTCATCTGATAATCTTCTTAGGAATTCTAATGTGTAATCTGTTCAAAAGATGGTCTGAAAAACTTGTAAGGGAGTAGATATTGGAAGAGCGATAGATAAGCACGCAAATGGAAAGTCAAAAAGAAATTTTCAGTGTAAAGAAGAATTTTTTCATGTATGAGTTACTCTATCATTTTCCTCATCAGAAATACTAAGAGCATGTTTGGTAAGCTGAAAATTTGGTGAGGGAAATGAAAATTTATGACTTTCCATAGGTGGGGCATGTTTGGCAAGCAAATCTTCCTCCAACCTATTTTCCGACTGCGCTACATTTTCCAGCCTATAAGGGGAAATGGGTTCCCACCCATTTTGGTGGGAACTGATTTTCAATCGTGCGCGGGAAAATTGCCAAAGACCACCTCACCCTTCAAATTTGAATAAAATGCTGGCCATGTGGTTCATAACTTCCATGGAAAGTGTGAAAGCTCAAAGCTGGTTATATCCCTTTCAAAGCACCATCAAATCGGATATATACGCGCGCGCACACGCACATATAAACGTCAAGCATACTTTTCTTTGCTGCAACGTAAACGTCCAGTCCCCCCCCCCCCCCAAAAAAAAAAAAAACCAAAAAAAAATCCCAAGTTATTGTAACCCCCCCCCCCAAAAAAAAAAAAAATGTTAGGGGCATATTAATGGGGCAACATAGATACTCTGGACATTTTAGCTTTCGGTCCAAGTTATTAATTATTGTAAAATGCATATACCTCCCAAACTTGCATTTTGCAGTATTATCATGCATCCGATCGAATATATATATATATATATATATAGAGTGGGGTGTGTGTGTGTGTGTGTAGTGGTGTACTGCTTCATTATTAATACTGAAATAGTACAGATAGTGGCCAAAGAACTTATTCTAATATGTATTTATGGTGCTGATTTTTTTTTTGTTTACTCTGTTTTTAGTTAAAAAAACAGAGTTGAACAGAGGTAAACAACTTTGAATTTGATGGGATGATATTCAAACTTGCCACATAAAATGTGAACTTGCTTATGTGATATTAAGTTCTTTACTGTATAAAATGAAAATTTGTTTGAGCAGGTTCAAATATGATGCAAATAAATTCAATTTTTTTAACAAATTCAAATTTAATTTCAGAAAATTTGAATTTGTTGCATCAAATTCAAAAATCAAAATTTGCTTGCTAATTTTTTTTTGGTTATATTAGAGTTTAAATTTTCCCGGACATAAATAAAATTCTTTTTTGAGTTTGTCTTATTACATTAGAAACTGGGTTTAGTGACTTTTATAATATGTCATTTGTCTTATTTATATTTAAATTAAGAAAGATATGCTTACTGGAAATTGACCTTTATAATAATTTTGTTTGTATGAGTTTATTCATGCTCTGTTCAATACTTAGAAAAGAGGGGCAAATAGAGTTTACTAGAGAGAGAGTTGTAGTTCTTCAGTTTTTTTTGAAAAACTTGTCAGGGAGTAGATATTAGAAGAGCGATAGATAAGCATGCTAATGCAAAGTCAAAAAGACAATTTTCAATGTAAAGAAGAATTTTTTCATGTATTAGTTACTCTGTTGCATTTTCCTAATGGGAAATACTAATAAATTCATACATGCAAAGTTTTCTTTTGAAGCATGATAGGAGCATTTGAACAAAATTCTTAGAGATTTCGAAGTAAATGGAACATCAATATACTAACTGAATAGATGTAATAATTTCTTTATTATTTTTTGGTTTTCTGAACTAAGTGTTCTGATTTCAATGAAGCCTAAGAGAATAATAACAAATTTCTATAACATGTTTTGTTAGCTCGAGTTATAATACTCTTCCGATTCTAAATATAATATCCTTTTTATAGTATGCATAAGAGTTTTACATTTAGGACTAGAGGAATAATAAAATCCAGATAATTTATAATCATCGATTTTTGGATCTATTTCTTTGTTTTTCTTTAATGAATGCATTTAAACAAATTCCAATTCTGCTCACTTTTTCGTAGGTTTTTCAAATTATTCTCCACAATCTTCGCCTAGTTTGAATAATTAATCACTTAATTGGTTTCTCTTTTTACATATCCGTACAAAAAGAAAGGTATTATTCGACTGGAACTTTTTAGTGCAGATAGTTCAAAATTTTACCAATTTCATAATTGTGGAACCACAATTGTAAAACCACAATCGATTTCATTAACATTTGGATCCATCATCCGTATGCCATATATGCAATTTTCAACCGAGAAAATAATTTAACTCTAGGGGGTGTTTGGATAGAAACCAAACCATAGTTTCAGAAGTGCTTTTACGGATTACAAAGTAAATATGTGGAGGAGATTACCTCGTTTTACGGAAAAGTGCTTTTGAAACTATGATTTTGGGTTTCCCAAACACTCCCCTAATCTACGACATTCACATTGTGGGCTCCATTAAAGCCTCGAATTTATTTTTATTCCATCAAGTCATCGACGAATTTGACTCTTGCTGATTATCTGAGATGAATTTATCCTATGAAAGAATTATTTTTTTTAAAAAAATAGCCATTACATGACTAAATTAGAAAATTCTTTTGACAAATCACTAACAGATAATTGATACAGTAATAACTTGCTAAAAAATATAACAAAGGCATACAAACAAATTTCCGTTAAATTTCCCAAAATTTGGCATATTTTGTTGCTTGAAGGAACGGCCTGAATGACTTTTCAAAGCAAGTCTTAGCTTATTAGATAAAGTCATCTATATGGATTACATAATAATTTACTGATAATCTATGTCTCCACAACAAGTAAAGCATAGGGACAATCCCTAAGGTGTGTTTGGTATAAGAGATTTGGGAAGAAGGGGAGGAAAGGAGAGGGATTTTAATCATTTCTCCTTGTTTGGTAACACACAAATTTTAAAAGGGGAGGGAAAAAATTTTAAAACTTTCCCTCTCCTCCCCTCCTCATCCTCCCCTCCAAAATGAGGACGATTTAGAGGGAAATGATAATATTTTGTCATATTATGACTATTATGCCCATATTTTGTCATGTTGTGACTATTATATCTATATTTTGTCATATTGTGACCATTATGCCCATATCTTAAATAAAATAAGAACAAAATTGTCCATATAAAAATATTTTCCCCTCCCCTTCTCTTTTTTTTTTATAAATCCAAACAAGATACTATTAAAATCCTTCTATTCTCCTCCCCTCCCCTTCCTCTCATTGAGCCAAACATACCTTAAGAAAGAAGATGGGATCACCAGAACAACCATTGACAAATAAGGTCACCTAATGAGTGATACTCAGGCGGTGTCAAAAGTCAAAATATGAGAAGATCGAGAGAGAAGTCGCTGTCAATTTCAGAAAATCCAGTTTAGAGCATACTACCAATAATTCCCTGGTGTACCCTCGAGAGGGTGTGTCTGGTAATCAGTTTGTTCTGACTGAATAATAATTTTGACCAAAACAATAAAAGCAATTTACTCGAAAATTACAAGATCACTTTTTGATTGAGTTGCCAAACAAACAGTAAATTTTAACGTATAGGATTCCACCTTTTTGTAATCAAGAAATCACAAACAATGATAGATGCCGATGAAATGCGCCGCCACACGAGGAAAAAAGAAGACAAGATGATGGAGCGTAGAAAGAACCCAGATGGCGTTGAATTTTCAAGTAAATTTTCTTTGACAACCAAAACGAGTCAATCCATACAAGTATATTGATCTTTTTAATAATATTGGTTTTAGCAAGAGAGAGACGGAATTAAAAGGGTTGAAAAACCACCCCACACCTAACTAAAGCTATATGTATATAACTTAGCAACAAATTAGACCTAGCAGGTGAAAAAATAAAATAAAATAAAATTAAACAAAGAGCAGCTGCATGTGCCCTATCATTTCTACACAATATATCAGATGGGGTGACAAGTTCATATCGTTGGACTTCTGAATTTCAGTAATGTAGTACCTCACCTGCAACAGAACAAAATTCACTTTAAAAACGAAGAACTTTCAACACTAATGAAGGCCTTTATATTCGTCAAATAATAATCGTACCTGGTCTTTGAGCTTCCAAGAGTGAGCTCTAGATCATCTGATCCGATATCTTCATGAATCCTCTCTCCTTCCCATGGCTTCACTAAACCTGCTTTGCTACTTCCAAAGGCAAATTCGTCCGAAACTACTTGAGCCATTGGAATATCAGCAGTGTGATCAAAGCTTGCAGCTATAGCTGGAGAACATGTCCCACTTTGGCCGGGAGTCCACATGTGGGAACCACCACCAGCTAAAACCTCATCCTTGGAACCAAAAGGCTTTGAAGAGACCAGGCTGAATGTGGGAGAATTAGGGCCACCTTGGGGAATCCTAATCCCAGCAAACCATTCTGGGTGAACAACCTGGCGACCGGGACTAGGAGGAGTGGAAGAGGGAAGGAAGGGGTACTGTTGTCCAGCCCTCCCAGGGCGAGTGGACTGCTCGCCCCAGTCAGCTTTGGTTCGGGGTGTTCGGGCAGTAGGAGAGCTCAGTGGAGGGGTGACAGGAGCACTGATGGAGCCACTATGAATGTAGAGATGAGGGAGCTTGGAAGATGAGGCTGATGATGACCCTGATGAGAGATTTTTGAGCCATGGAATGAGGGAGCTGTTGTCAGAATTAGGATTTGCAGCAAAGGAGGATGAGCGAGGGCTGGGGAACGAAGAAGAGACAGGGCTCGGATTGTACGAAGCACAAGGACTTGGATGGTAAGACGAGCATGGGCTGGCTACTGCAGAACCACCAACTATGTCCATGCGTTCCAAAGGCTTACAACCCTGGATGTATAAAATATTTTCAGTGAATAATCTAGACTTAGCAAATTAGAGCATGATAAAATCTAATATGATTGGTATTTGTAAAACAGAGACATATCATTTTAGTCACCACATAGATATGCACCAGACGATTAGATTATATATGTATTTCCTAACGTGATTTTATTGATGATGCCAAAAAGGACCCCTAAAACATAAAATAATGTCGCCAATGGACTTGCTTTGAGCCTTTAAACCACTACTAATGGAGAATGATCAGGCAAAAGCATATACATATGTGTGACTTATAGCCTAATTTCATTCACAATTCTGGCCTTCCATTCACCCATCCCAGCATTTCCTTAAATTCTAGATTACATCGTATTGTAGCTACTCAAAGTCTGGAGGTACTTTCCCAAAGCTACATAGCCTGTCAGAGATGATATCATGGGGGTTGTTTGGCGATGTTAAGTTGACACTCGTTTAAAACAAATACCCCCTCTGTATTTATAAGAAACAATTATACTGGCCCGAAGGTAGTAACTTACAACTCAAAATATATCAGACTAGTCAATCTAATACACAATCATTTGTCTAAATTGTATTCTCTTTGGCACAAAACAAATTAAATGCTTGGCAGTTGTCTATGTATGAGTGACATCTTTAGCAGCCATGATTTTTTCCCCAGTCAAGATATGTTCTTCCATCCCTGGTTGTAACCGCGTCTTATTTGTCAGTCAATTTTCACACAAGGATAACAGTTTGCTTTTCTCTTTCAAAATTATATGAAGTTGTTTCTTTTGATATACTACCTCCGGTCTTTAATATAAAAACTTGTTTGACTTTTATCTTAGTTCTAAATATGAGACCCCAATCCATCTTATTTATCATATTTATCCATTTTTTTTCAAGGTAATCCTTGTAATAATAATAACTCTAGCTAATACATTTGATTAGCAAAGATATTTTAGGAAAGACAACACCACCTATTCAATACAAATAACTAACGTAACTAATTTTCTTAATTTACTCAAATTAGTCAATTAGCTTTTATATTAAGGACCGGAAGTAGTATCATAAAAGGCCTCAAGCATATGGTGATAGATCATAGGGATATGTGCATCCCATCCAAGGACTATGATACCCTGGGATTCCCATCCAAAGGTGAAAAGTACTCTAACCTTTCTGGAGTCCAGCCCATATTAATTAGCAGTGATTAGCTGAACTGAGATAATACCTCAAGCAATGAATGAGCTTCTATAATGAATGACAGGTAAACTACCCGCAGCAGCAGCTAATAAATTCGAACAAAGGCAGATCAGTAATTACCTTATACAAACAGTTGAACACCAAACTGTACAAATATTCTTATAACTGTCAATTGTGAAATTTAGACAAAATAAGTTTTTATGCAATGCTATTTAGGAAGGAAATTCTTTCAATTAGAAAGAAATTTCGTCCATTTCAATATATTTGACGCTGAAAGTAACCTTCCTTAATCAAGAAAGTTACTAAAAAATTAAGTTGGATTTTAGGTCGTAGCAAATTATGATTATATTTTATGACAAGGATATCCTTACATTTATTCTCTAGTATTATTTATACATTCTCTTTACCCCTAAAATAAAATATTAGAATGAGAATTATTTAGCAACAAAATCAAAATCCTAGAGTAGTAGAAAATTATACGTACATATCTATTAACTTCGTTACCACCATCTCTTACTTGAACAATATCTGAATTCGTTATGCAAGTTAGACTGAATTATTACAACAGTTATTTACGTGTAGTATCATGCATGTAGCTTTCCTGCTGCCAAATTGCTTTGCTAGTAGAGCATTTCTTGAAAAAATATTAAAAGATAGCATTTGGGGAAAAATCCTCAACCAGCATCCGTGGATTTTAAAATATATAACAGATATACAGCAGAGTTTAGTCATTTTAGACCAAATACTTAACGTTGTGCCCTCTATACAAATATCCCCACTCTTTTCATCGAAAATGATTTTCTTTGTAAACGAAAAGTATCCTAGAATTAAAACAACTTGAACTTCTATCAAGGTATGGTCCCTATGTTCCTCAAAAAAAAGGTATTGTCCCTGTAGCCTACAGGGAACTCTTTGTTTGGGAAACGTCATCAATAAAGGCAGTGCATAAATAAAACTGCTAGTCTGCAACCCCACAAAAGAAGAAAAACAATCACAGGAACTTAGGAAAAGGGACTACCCAAATCAGAGTGCCAGTGCATTGTCTGTAAAAGCTCCTGTCACGTTGCAACAAGCGCAGCATACAACCAATTACAACAAGGAAAATACCTGACCCGGCAAATTTACCCCTTTATGTTCTCGAATTCCCAGGCTCAGGTAGGAATTTAAGAAAATCGTTTTGTCAAAATATGACGGGCATTTTCGTCTCCTCGAGATCTATGCCGGTACGCCCTTCAGAGTTCAGTCTCCATGGACTCTTACGAGCCATCCAAGAACAAGAAGATAGAGAATCTTTTGTGCTTCTCGCTCAAGGGCGAGAGGCAGCTCTCGATCAGATCTATCATGCGCCGGCGAGAGGGGAACAACAACAAAAAGAAAGAATCTAGCCCGAATCATATCATTAACAAAGACTGAAGGGTAGAAAACATAGCATCGCCGTCACAAGCCAACTAGACCGGCTTTTAGCCGATAGGTGACCCCAGCATGTGCCATTGCAAAGGCCGCATGCTAATAGATACGACGGTGTGCCCAGACTAGCTCATATAACAACTGAACTAAATCGATGTTAATATAACCAACGGAGCTAAGATTGCTATAATGGATTATAAACCAGACCACATTCGGGGCAGAACTAATGCAGCTCTTTGATCCAATGGTTTAACAAATGACACAAAAACAAACAGCAAAACAAATTGTAAAACTGCAAGCTTCAACAATAGGAGCGGACAATAGGAATGAGACTAAGTACCTTGCGATATGTGGTACCATCAGGTTCAACAGTCCAACCAGCCTCGTTGCAGAGAGCCTTCAGGACTTCATTGTTGTCGCAGTGCTTGGGGAGCTTGTAGTTGCCATACATTCTCAGACCAGCGAAGATCTTCGCCGCTATGGCTCTTCGCCTCCTCTCTCTCCTCTTGTTGTTTTCCCTCTCCCTCCAGGTTGGTAGCCTGGTACCAGACGTCATCTTGCTCGACGAGAAAGCTCTCAGACGGAAAATGAGATACGAAAACAAACTGGAAGAGCGTAAATTGGAGGTATAATTGCCAGAATTTTTAGCGGCGGAAAATAATCAGAAAACAAAACAAAACGCTTCACGCGTCGGGATCAAAGAATCAGTAATGGAAAAGGAAAGCCCAGAGAAGCTTGACCGAAAAAACATTCAAATACAAACCACAAACCCTGCTATAGTCAGAAATTTACATCAAAACGACATGATTCAGCGGCTGAAGCACAGCTCACTGATTCACAGCTCCAACACGACGAAGCCACAAATCGGAGCAACACGGCAGCGGATGAAGTAGATACACAGCTCAAATCGGAGGACTCCAGATCGGAAGTAGATTCGGAAGTCTACGCAGCGTTTGATGGGGGCAGAATCCAAGCGGTGCAGATCTACGCAGATAGAATTCAGAGGTGGATTGATTGAGATGGGAATAACATGTTCGCCGAGAAACTGCTCGGAAAACAGGAAAAGGTATCGATGAGAAAACCCGGAAAATGTGAAGGGAGAAGCAGAAAACTCATTGTGGGTTGGAAAAAATGAAGGGATTTCAGAGAGGCAGAGGGTTGGACTAACATGAGCAGAAAGTGAAAATGGCCATAATTGATACTGAATTCACGGTAATGCCATTCAAGCATCCGTTTGTGTGTGAATCAGACAGAGAGCGAGAGTGCGCGCGCGCGTTGTGTAGACTCTGGCTCGAAGCGTGTGCTTCACACGGTGTGACTAGACTACGTGCAAATGTTGACTGACCCAAATTGTGATCAATGTCTTGAAAATTAATTACTCCTCCTATTCTTAATATAATACATATTTAATTAATTTAATTAGATTAAAAATTTTAATAAATTAATTAATTATAAAAATATAATATTTTTTTAAAATATCATAATTATCTTTATTAATATCCTCCCTTCTTACTTACTTGATTATAGTTGAGAGAATATCAATAGGAATAATTTTAAAAAATTGATAAATATAAAAAATAAGTCTTATATTTAGGATCAAAATTAACTTAATAATTAGATATTATATTAATGACCGAAGGATATTTTGTTATTCTAATTTTTTCCAATTATAATTTATAACTTAGTTTAGTTGAATAGCTGGGAAAAAAATAAACTTTAATTGAATACAGCTAAATTTCTATAATTTTTAAATTCAATTATTGACTTAGATAAATACTAGGGCTGCACATGGACAGGGCTAGGCAGGGTAAGACCCTTGCCCGATGCACAGCCGGAAAAATGAACGGGTTGAAAAATTCAGCCTATTGTCTGGCCCTGCCCATGAAAAGTCCTAGTAAGTTCGGGCAGGGCAAATGTAGGCTGGGCAGGGCGGGCTTCTATACCCAGAAAATCAATATACTATATCATTTAGGGAAAATGACATTGAGGTCCCACAGAACCAAAAATACAGCAAAAAGGTCCCCTGAAATCCTATAATTTTTCTGAAGTCCCAAAGGGACTTAGATGCAATTTTCAGAATCTGGAAATTACCCTCTTGCCCTTGCTTATGAGATTCGAAAATGCTGAAAGGAGATTACAGCCTCTGTTTTTTGTTTGACCGGAAAAAGCTGAAACCCTGTTGTGCTTTTGTGCTGCTGGAAATCCGGTGACAACCCATCGCGGTGCTCAAATTCCCCTCACAACCCGCCGAAAATCGTGAGCCTTCGTGCTGGTTGGTGTGTGTTGTGATTTAAGTTGGGTGTGTAGAATGATAATGGGTGCTCTGTTTTTGGGTTGTTTTTGGGTGGTTTTCTTCTGTTCTGACATTGGTTTAGTGGCAAAGGAAGAAAAAGATGAAGGTTAGTGAGGGTAGAAACCCTTAGCACAAATGGGACTGTGTTGTCAATCAGGCCGCGATTGTTGTCAATGTGTGCCGCTACACTTGTCAATGTAGCTCTTTAAGTTGTCAATAACAGTTGCGTGCTTCTTGATGCAGGTTTAAGTTACTGATGGTATTTCAAAGCTTTTGTTTTTGGTTTAGGATTCAGAAGTTAATGAATGGAAAAGCTGTGTTTTTGGTTGGTGTGTGTTGTGATTTAAGTTGGGTGTGTAGAATGATAATGGATGCTCTGTTTTTGGGTGGTTTTCCTCTGTTCTGACGTTAGTTTAGTGGCAAAGGAAGAAAAAGATGAAGGTTAGTGAGGATAGAAACCCTTAGCACGAAATGGGATTGTGTTGTCAATCAGGCCGCGATTGTTGTCAATGTGTGCCGCTACACTTGTCAATGTAGCTCCTTAAGTTGTCAATGACAGTTGCGTGCTTTTTTATGCAGGTTTAAGTTACTGATGGCAAGTACATCTGGAAAACATCTATTTTGCTTTGTTCACATAAGGGGAAAGTTTATAAATGATGGAGAAGATAATATGAGATATGTGGGAGGTAGTGTAGAACAACCAATGTAAAGGAGGGCACAAGTTATGAAGAATTGAAGGAAATTATATCATCAATTGCTGGAAAAAAAAAGCAACTCATTTCTTCTGAAATTCTCAGTTGTGTTTGATAAAAAAACTTTTGTGGAGTTGGTAGATGATGATGGGGTGGAACATTTGATAAAGTTCAATGAAGAAAGTGGTCATGTGTATGTCGAAGAAAATGAAAATGAGGACCACATAGAAGCAACAAAGGATAATACAATGGAGGAGCAAGATGTGTAAGTATAGTTGAACAAAACTGTAAATGGGTGTGAAGGGAATTTTTTGTAAATGGATACACACCAATAGTTAGTTTCTCGTAATTACATGCAATCCCTGTGTTTTTTTGGGATGGGTTGTGAAATAGGTGTAGTTTCATGTATATGAAGGTGTAAATGAAAGTTGACTATGAATTGGCATGTTAGATTCTGCTGTCATTTAAGTTGTCATACCTGCACCCTGTATTGTCATTAGACCTGTTATGACTTATCAATAGAGCACTGTCACTTGTCAATTAATTTGCTGATGTAAGTTGTCAACAATATGAATTCAAGTTACATAACTTGTTTTAGTAACATATGATATTTTCAATCACTCTGTCATATTATATTTTTGGTTATTTGTCATATATAATCATTATTAATGAAGTGTCAATGGTGGCACTGTGACTTGTCAATGGTGGCATAGTGACTTGTCAATCATGTCCTTAAGACTTGTTAATGGTGGCGCTGTGACTTGTCAATGGTGGCGCTGTGGCTTGTCGTTGGTGGCACTATGACTTGCCAATGGTGGCACACTGACTTGTCGTTGGTGGCACTATGACTTGTCAATGGTAGCACACGGACTTGTCATTGGTGGCAAGATGACTTGTCAATCATTGCATCGTGACTTATCAATGGTGGCACTGTGACTTGCCAATGGAGCACTGTGACTTGCCAATAGAGCAGAGTGACTTGTTAATTGAACATAACTCTGAGTAACACCTTCTGATTAATTATATTTTAATATAAATATTACTTAACATTACAAATAAATAACACCTTCAGTTGTAAAAATTTTGAATATCAATTGTTAATATCCACATATTCATTTGTTATATCACTTGTCATTAACTAATGTTATATTATTCTGCATATAAACTTTAGCCCATTTCACTTTGTTGCTAATTTTGTCCTCATTGGCAAACAACTCTGGCTTAACAGCACGCAACATCGTATGGAAACAGTTCATCTGCAAAAAAAAAAAACACATAATCAAAAGGTTTTACTAACAACACAGCATCCAGTGACAAGGGACAGAGCATATTGTGACAAGTAACATAGCATCCAGTGACAAGGGACAGAGCATCCAGTAACAAAAAACAGCATCCACTAACAACTAACAGAGCATCCACTGAGAAATGACAGAGCATCCAGTGACAACTAACAGAGAATGCAGTGACAACTACGCAGGCTGCTGTGACAACTATAAGAGTAGTCATTGACAAGTATAACAGCAGCAAATAAATACACACAGTCTGTGTTGCCATAAAGTGTTTGGGATTGAAGTGCCCTTTATTCGTCCTCTTTTTCAGACGCAATCATTAATATGGAAATAGAAATCCCCACAAAGGAATATGGTAACCACTACAGAGCATACAATCTTCACAAATACTTTGAACTCCAAGCAAGGCATATCAACTATTCAGCCTCATTTTTGTAACTTTAACAATCCACCGTGGTGCTCAAAATCCACTCAGTGTGCCACCATTGGCAAGTCACAGTGCCACAATTGACAAGTCACATTGCCACTAATGACAAGTCAGTGCCACCATTGACAAGTCATAGTGCCACCAACGACAAGTCACAGTGCCACCATTGACAAGTCACAGCGCCACCATTAACAAGTCTTAAGGACACCATTGACAAGTCACTATGCCACCATTGACATTTCATTAATAATGATTATATATGACAAATAACCAAAAATATAATATGACAGAGTGATTGAAAATATCATATGTTACTAAAACAAGTTATGTAACTTGAATTCATATTGTTGACAACTTACATCAGCAAATTAATTGACAAGTGACAGTACTCTATTGATAAGTCATAACAGGTCTAATGACAATACAGGGTGCAGGTATGACAACTTAAATGACAGCAGAATCTAACATGCCAATTCATAGTCAACTTTCATTTACACCTTCATATACATGAAACTACACCTATTTCACAACCCATCCCAAAAAAACACAGGGGTTGCATGTAATTACGAGAAACTAACTATTGATGTGTATCCATTTACAAAAAATTCCCTTCACACCCATTTACAGTTTTGTTCAACTATACTTACACATCTTGCTCCTCCATTGTATTATCCCTTGTTGCTTCTATGTGGTCCTCATTTTCATTTTCTTCGACATACACATGACCACTTTCTTCATTGAACTTTATCAAATGTTCCACCCCATCATCATCTACCAACTCCACAAAAGTTTTTTTATCAAACACAACTGAGAATTTCAGAAGAAATGAGTTGCTTTTTTTTCCAGCAATTGATGATATAATTTCCTTCAATTCTTCATAACTTGTGCCCTCCTTTACATTGGTTGTTCTTACACTACCTCCCACATATCTTATTATCTTCTCCATCATTTATAAACTTTCCCCTTATGTGAACAAAGCAAAATAGATGTTTTCCAGATGTACTTGCCATCAGTAACTTAAACCTGCATCAAGAAACACGCAACTGTCATTGACAACTTAAGGAGCTACATTGACAAGTGTAGCGGTACACATTGACAACAATCGCGGCCTGATTGACAACACAATCCCATTTCGAGCTAAGGGTTTCTATCCTCACTAA